CTCTCACACCGCTTCTTGCTCCAGTTTCGGTTGCACTAGCTGATCCTACTTCAGGACCAGCGGTTGCACGCAGCTCTACCACCCTCCCGTGCCCGGTTGTCCCCTCTGGTGTCCTTAGAGGTCTCCACATCCCCTCGTTCACTCGGAACTTGGTGGGTGTTGGATACCTTCAGGATAGGGGGATCACAGTTACCTTTCTGGGAGGCGGGAGGACTGCAGTCTGCACGGACGCTGCCACCGGTGTCGTTCTTGCCACGTTCACCAGAGAGTCCCGCTCCGGTCTCTACGTTCTGCACACTGAGCGCTCCCAGGTAGCTGCGTCCCCTCAGGTTGCTGCGTCCCCTCAGGTTGCGGTGTCCGGCCAGGTGGCTGTGTCCGGTCTGGTTGCTGCGTCTTGCTCTTGTCGGTCACTCTCTCACCCGACAGTTTTGTGGCACCACCGTCTTGGTCACCCGTCTCTCCCACGCCTCCGCAGCATGGCTAGCCAGCGTCTTGTCTCTGGTCTCCCGCGCGTCTTTGCGTCGCTCCCTCCTTCGCTTGTGCCGTTGTGCACTCCTTGCGTCGAGGGTCGGCTGCGCGCCACTCCTCACTCCTCCTCCCTTCGTCCGGCCACTACACCTTTCCAGACTCTCCACTTGGACGTCTGGGGCCCCGCCCCTCGCCCGGGGCCCGAGAGGGAGAGCTTTTTTCTAGTGGTCGTTGACGACTACTCCCGCTACACCACCGTGTTCCCTCTGGCGAAGAAGTCCGACGTGACTTCTACGCTGATCAGGTGGTTACTGGCCACTGAGACCACACGTGGCCGTCGTGTTAGTTGTCTTCACTCCGACCGTGGGGGCGAGTTTCGCTCCGGCATTCTTCGCGGATTCTGTAGCGAGCAGGGCATCACCCAGTCCTGGACGCTTCCAGAGTCCCCACAGCAGAATGGGGTTGCTGAGCGCCGCATAGGCTTGGTCATGGAGATTGCCCGTACCTCCATGATCCATGCCCGTGCGCCCCATTTTCTGTGGCCCTACGCGGTTCGCTACGCCGCCCACCAGCTGAACCTCTGGCCTCGTGTCTCTCGGCCAGGGGCTTCACCGACCAGTCTTTGGACTGGGTCCCCTGGTGTTGCGTCGGAGTTTCGAGTCTGGGGCTGCCTTGCGCTTGTCCGCGAAACCTCTGCGGACAAGCTCTCGGCCCGCGCCATCCCATGTGTCTTCCTTGGTTTCCCGGTGGACTCCTCTGACTACACCTTTTACCACCCGCCCCTCCACCGGTTCTTTGACTCTCGTGACGTCCGGTTTAGCGAGTCCGTGTCCTACTACACCAGGTACCCCTGTCGAGGTCTCCCGGTTCCCCCCCCTCCCCTTTTTCTCGCCCCCTCTCCTCCTCCTGCTCCCGCTCCTCCGGTACCCCCACCCCCCCCTGGTCCTGCCCCGTCAGGTGTGTCCCACGCTACCCCTCTACCCTCGGTCGCGCGTCAGGTAGCGTCGCCGCAGTCCTCCTCACAGTCCCCTCAGCAGCCTTCGGCACTTCCGCGACAGGTTACTGTGGACTCCGGGGGTGCTGGAGCTGGAGGTGCTGGCGCTGGAGGTGCTAGTTCTGGGGGTGCTGGTGTTGGGGGCACGGACGCTGGGGGTGCTAGTTCTGAGGGTGGTGGAGCTGAGGGTGTTGGCGCTGGAGGTACTAGTTCTGAGGGTGCTGGAGCTGAGGCTACTGGCGCTGGAGGTGCTCGTTCTGGAGGTACTCTTACTGGGGGTGCTGGCACTGGTGGTGCTAGTTCTGAGGAGACTCGAGCTGGAGGCACTGCTACTGTGGCGCCTACCCCACCTCCCCACCGCTACCCGACGAGTTTCCAGAGGCTTCGTCAGCTGGAGAGCGAGGAGCGGGAGCGGTTGGAGCAGGAGAGGCTGGGGCTGGAGCGGCAGCAGCTGGAGCTGCAGCAGCAGGAGCAGCAGCAGCAGCAGCAGCAGCAGCAGCAGCAGCAGCAGCAGCAGCAGCAGCAGCAGCAGCAGCAGCAGCAGCAGCAGCAGCAGCAGCAGCCGCAGCAGTCGCAGCAGCCGCCGCCCTTGCAGCCGTTGTTTCCACCTGTGAGTGGCCTTCGGGCCCTTGGAGTTCCTTCCTCTCCTCCAGACCGCTCACTGTCTCCCCCTGTTTACGGTCCTACGTTCCCCCCTCCGGACTCTTCTCCGGCTGTCTTCTCTCCTCCTCAGTCACAGTCGTCTCCTCCTGTGGTCCCGCACGACTGGACAGTGCGTTGTCCCGCCCGTGCACGTCCCTCGTCTCCTTTTGACGACCTCCGCACTGTCTTGTTTCGTTCGAGTCCTCGTCGTTCTCCACCTCAGTCTGTTCTCCCGTCACCTCCTGAGTCGTCTCTTACAGCCTCCACGTCTACCCCTATCACTGACTACTACCGTGCCACCCGTCCTGTTGTCACTCGTGTTCTCGCCTCTCTCGTCACGGACCCTCGTGCCTCTCCGTCGTCTGTCTCGGCTCTTTCTGCCGCTGTCGCTGACTTTGCCGCCACCCGTCGCCTTGACTACGACACCCGTGTGGTAGCTGCCCGTCCTCTGTCCGCCGGGGGTGAGTGTGCCCTTGGCTGTGACGTCCTAGAGGACAGGCAGTTTGAGCTGGAGTTCTTGGCGGCCGCTTCTCCCCATCTCTGTGCCATGCTGCTAGCTCCTGAGGGAGACCCCGACGCCCTTGACATACCGACTCCTCGCACGTACCGTGAGGCAGTGTCAGGGCAGTGGGCTTCTCAGTGGATAGCGGCCATGGAGTCAGAGATGGCGTCTTGGAGATCCACAGGCACTTACGTCGACGCAGTTCCCCCACCTGGGGCGAACGTAGTCGACGGCATGTGGATTTTCAAGGTGAAGCGGCCGCCTGGATCGCCGCCTGTGTTCAAGGCGCGATACGTGGCTAGAGGTTTCAGTCAGCGTGAGGGAGTTGACTTCTTCCAGACCTTCGCTCCGACCCCGAAGATGACGACTCTTCGGGTGTTACTACACGTTGCAGCACAGCGAGACTACGAGCTGCACTCCCTCGACTTCTCCACCGCCTTTCTCCAGGGCAGCCTGCACGAGGAGATCTGGTTGCGTCGTCCTCCCGGCTTCACTGGCACTTTCCCGCCTGGGACCCAGTGGAGCCTGAGGCGACCAGTCTACGGTCTCCGCCAGGCGCCCCGTGAGTGGCACGACACGCTGCGCACTACTCTTGCTTCCCTCGGGTTTCGTCCTTCGTCCGCCGACCCGTCGCTGTTCGTTCGTTCTGGGCCCACACCCTTCTTCGTCCTCGTCTACGTCGACGACTTGGTCTTTGCTACAGCAGACAGGACTGCACTGGCTGAGGTGAAGTCCGAACTGCAGAAGAGACACACGTGCACTGACCTTGGTGAGCTGCGCCGCTACCTTGGCTTGCAGATCACCAGGGACAGAGCCGCTCGCACCATCACACTCACACAGTCACACATGGTGCGGCAGGTCCTTCAGCGGTTCGGGCTTCAGCACTCCACCACACAGCCCACCCCTCTTGCCGTTGACCACAGACTCACCGGCCCTTTTCCCGACGAGCCTTTTGAGTCTAGTGGTCCCTACGCAGAGCTTGTGGGCTGCCTCATGTACCTGATGGCTTGTACTCGTCCGGACCTCGCTTTTCCCCTCAGCGTCCTCTCTCGCTTTGTTGCGACTGGGAGACACCGTCCTGTTCACTGGACAGCTGCTGTGAGGGTGGCGAAGTACCTGGCGACTACATCAGGCATGGGACTTGTGCTTGGAGGGACACAGCCAGTTGTACTGTCTGGTCACTGCGACTCTTCCTACGCCGACGACGTGGAGACACAGAGGTCCACTCAGGGCTACTGCTTCAGCTTGGGCGCTGGAGCTGTGTCATGGAGGTCTACTCGGTCGTCGTCTGTGGCTTCGTCTAGTGCTGAGGCAGAGATCTACGCCGGTGCCATGGCTGCGCAGGAGCTTCGCTGGTTGACTTTCTTGCTCATCGACCTTGGTGAGCGGCCGAGCTCTGCACCGACCTTGTTCGCTGACAACAAGGCCATGATCCTCCTGTGTCGAGAGCCTCGACTGGAGAGCAGAGTGAAGCACATCGACGTCAGGTACTTTCTCCTGCGAGAGTTGCAGCGACGTGGCCAGGCACGCTTGGACTTCGTGGCCTCAGAGGCCAACACTGCAGACATCTTCACCAAGGCCCTTCCGCCTGGTGACCACCACAGGTTCTGTTTGCAGTTAGGCCTTGTTGACGTAGGCTCTTGGCTACAGTAGTCTTGTCTCTTGTTGCTTGCTGTACTTCTATATATGTCTGCGAACGCTTGAACTGGCCTTGTGGCCTCTTGTTTGTGCTCAGAATGTGTGGTGACTTCGTGATCCACCCTGAGCTTGCTGTGTTTCTTTTCTTGACTGGTCTTGTGACCACATGCGTGTCATACCTGTTTTGATGCCCCTCACTTAGCCTATGGGGGTGTGTCAAACTATGTTTATAGAGTTAGATATGCTATAGTGAGTTGGATGTTAGGGGGTACAAAACTTTCTCGACACTTTGGTTGTATCCCTCCCTTTGACCTAGCATGACCATTCTCTCGCTACTCAAGCAAGTAGGTTCTTAAGACCAATTACCTCCCAATCATACCATCAGATTGGCGAGACCAGAACTGATGAGTGGAAATTCAGAATTGTGCCTCTTTCCGGTACAATTACCGTACACGTGGGTGAGGTCATCTGACAAGCTGTTCTCTTGTTGCTATATTACACATGGGTGAGGTCAACAAATAATACTAGGTCCTTCCTGATTTATCACTACAAAGCAATTAGCATGTTAGCATGTAATGGCAATACAACATATAATCAAAAGCCAGAGAAACTCACAGCACTTGGTTTACCAAACCTTGAAGTTCTCACTCACCTGTGATTCCTCTGTTGTAGTCCCTCTATTCTCCCTCAATCTCCTACCATCCATGAGCTACTGCGCACCCCTATCCTTCCCTCCCCTCCCCTTCCCTCATACCGTCACTCTTCCTTCCTTCCCTGGACTTTGCCACCCTCTTTCCAGCTCTCCTTGCCAATGCTTTCACACCTGTGCCAGGCAATGTCCTTGCACCCCCCTATGCAACTAACCCCGCCAATCATCTTCCCACCATGCCCACATCTTTCCTTACCACCACTCTCGTCACTACCCTCACAAACACTCTCCTTGCTTACTTTCACGCGGCCATCTCTGCTCCCATCCTTCCCTCTCTTCTTCCCGCTGCTACTGCCGGGGCATGTGAGCTTGTGGGAGGGCCAGTGCGCCTTTTGGCAGTCTCTGCTGCAATACGCCACCTTGCCACACCCACCGCACCTCCTCATCTTCACTCCGCCACCCTCCACCGTCCCACATTCCGCAGCACCGCACACACGGCCCTGGACATCTGAAGCAGCAGCAGCAGCAGTAGCAGTAGCAGCAGCACTGATGCTTATTGCAGTGGGGGTGGGAGAGGCAGCAGGACGAGAAGACATAGTAGCAGCGGGATGGGTGGAAGCAGTAGCATGGGTGGACATTGCAGCAGGGGAAGCAGGGCGGTAGCACGGCTCCCCCAGCAGCATCTCTCGCAGACACGCCACCACATTGACTCCCCCCGGCCATGCCTTCAGATAAGCCGGCTCCCCCCCCTCCCTTGCCCTTCTTCTCACTGCTGCTTCTGCTGCTGCTGCTGCTGCTGCTGCTGCTGCTGCTTCTGCTGTCAGTGCTGCTCCCCCTGGTAGACCCTCGCTGCCCCTGCAACCCCTCACAGTACCTGGGGACGATCGCCGCTGCAAGAGCCCATGTGATGTCGAGCCCCCCTGGCGCCCTCTCGCGCTCTCTGCTGCCTCTGCACTCCTCGCCCCCTCCCTCCACCCTCAGCCTCGACATCCACGTTTTCATTGCTGCAAAGTACCACATTCGCACCTCTTCCCACACCTCTTCACCGCTCGCCTGATCCGTCTCACCATCCCAGCCGCCTTGCACCTTCACACTGCCACCTAATCCTGCTTTCTCCTCCGCACCTTCCCTCCGTGCACCCGACTGCACTCCCTGCCCTTTCTCACTCTCCCCACCTTCGAAACCAGCAAGATTCAGCAGAGGACGAGCGCACCACACGGCCATGTGAATGAGGAAGTACAGAGGCACCTGCTCGGCGCGCCTCAGCAGCATATGCAGGTTCAACGGCCTGGGCAGGCGTCCAGGAAGCTCCAGACACTCAACCAGCTCGTCAAAGCCAGGGGAGGAGGGCGGGAAGACAGAGAGCACGCGGGAGAACAGATGGCTTACTTGGTGGTACGCGAAGTTGGCAATCAGAGCAGCCATGCACACGGATTGCACGAATTCTAAGGAGCACGTGCCGCACTGGGTGCATGCAGGAGGGTCCATGATATACCCGGCGAGCCCCACCAGGAAGTCCACGTCTGCCCGGCAGCGAACGATAGGAAGCTTCCTTCTGGGGGGGGGCAGTGTAACTTTCTGCTCGTCGGTCCGAGATGCTTCAGCTGTCCCACGCGATCTGCTCAAAACAGCTTCCATGCCAGTTCTTGCTGCCTTGCAGGCTTTCCTCCTTGCGTTCCTGCTGACCCCTCCTGCTTCGAATCCTCCACAGGCTCTGCTCTGTTCATCTTCCTGGCTTGCTCCTTCACCTACTGCCTTGCTTCCTTTCTCCTTGGTACGGCTTCTGCCCCCTCCTGCTTCCGACGTGTGCTCAGGAGGATGCTGAGTCAGCTTCTCGGCTGGTCCACCCCGCTCCTCCACAATCCCAAGCCCAAAACACCTCTCCTTTCGGTTCACAGGAAACCTCACAGCAGCTTCCTCGCCCCGAGGCCACTCCTCCCACTCAAAAGCACCGCTGCTTCCCTCCAGAGGCTTGGGGATGGCGCCGAACCTGACCAGCAGGCTTGGGAGGTCTCGGAACGGGTGGCGCATGGGCAGGACCTTGCTGTGAGGGTCGTCCTTGAAGCATTGTTTCCCCGAGATGGAATCTGAGCCGTAGACTCGGACCCACTGCAAGATGCAACGAGCACGATAGGTGAATGCAGCAACCACAGGGTTGGTATTGACAGGCAGAAACCTATCCACATGTACGCGCCTAGCATTTGCAGTGATAGATACCGCTGGCTGAGCTGCTGTTCCTGCTCCCCCAAGCATACTCTTCTCCCTTGTCTGCTTCATGCGACGCATCAGCCTCTTCCGGACCACCTGAATGGCTGCATTCTCAATCCCTATCTTGCTCGCATTGTTCCCATCATCATGAAAGAACAACCCTGCATTCTCCCAGTGCTCTGGTTTCGATAATACTGTGGTGACAGCAAGGGCAAAATCGGTCGCACCTACACCAGTCACTTGCATACCATTGGGAGCACTGCTGCACGTGTTGGTGCCCCCAACTCCGTGGACTTTGTTGCTGCTGCCTCCGCTGCTGCTGCTGCTGCTGCCCCTTCCACTGCAATGGCTGCCCCTGAACTGCCTCGCTTCCCCCGCTCCATGCTCCAGAATCCAGGACATGCCATCCACATACCTCCTCCACACAAGCCCTTTCAGATTCTCCCTCCAATTCACATCCTCCCTCAACCTCCCGCACTTGCTCGCAACACCGTTGTTCTCTACCTTGCTCCCCGCCTCTTCCCCTCCGTGTCTCCCATCTTCCTTCCCATGTGACGCATCCACCAACCCCCCAACAAGCCTTCTCTCTCCCCGTTTGCCCCCACCAATATCCTGCTCCATACCCCCCGTCTGCTCTACAGGGCCTTTTCCTACACCCTCACATCTCCCCTTCCCCCTTGCATCCGTCCTCTCTGCCGCCTCTCCCCCGTCTCCCCCTCCCCCCCTCTCCTCCGCATGCGCCTTTTCCACCCCGCCTGACAGCACATGCTGCACGTAGAACCCAAACCCGTCCCTCAGATCAGCACTCTCCTTCACCCCGAGCACCTGCACCAGCAGGTAAGCCAACCTGTCCCGCTCCCCCTGCCTGACTGCCCCCAGCTCAGCAACAATCGCTGGCCAGGAAGATGAGTACAAGTCCAAGTGAGCGGCCCATAGAGTCACAAAACGGGAAGACCTCGCTACAAGCACGAGGAACGTTGAGAAGCTGACAGCACGGCGGTAGGCAGCCCAGCAGCTGCTGCAGCGCCAGCAAAAAGACCACGCTGCAGCACCAGATGCGTAAGGGGAAGCATCAGCAGCAGCAGCAGCAGCAGCAGCAGCAGCAGCAGCAGCAGCAGTAGCAGATGAAGCAGGAGACGGTAAGTCATCACGTGCAGCTCTTGTCCCATTCAAAATACCTGGCAGGCAGGATCTGATCCTCCTCAGATCCATGAGCACGCCCACACGAGGCTCAGCCATCCACTCGAGAAGCATGGCTTCTGCACAGAGGCGAGGCGCCCTCACCGCCTTCCATGCAAACTGTTCCGCAGGCGGGAGTTTACGTCCCTCCTGTAGCGCCTGCACCGCTGCCCGTTTAGAGTATTCGAAATTGGCCCGGTGCAGCTGCGCGAAATCTGCAGTGGGGATGCAATGAGGCTGTTCCTTGCACAGGTGGCGACGCAAGTCTTCCAGGTTCTTGATGCCAAATGCTCGCTGTGCTCGCTGGCCCACTGCACGGTCAAAGCAGCACTTGCACACTGCACTTGCGCGATCCTCCCATCCACCCGTCACGTCCAAGTAGTGAACCATGTCCGCTTGAGTCAGCAACAGACGCGGCTCTGGACTGACCCCTGATCTTGCTTTTGCTGCTGCCCCTCCGTTTGCCTCATCAGGCTGACCTGCTCCACCCAGGTCGATCTGGGACGCAGAGCGGAGTACCCACTGCCGCATATCGACAGTCTTCAGCTGTTCCTCCAACTCGTCTTCTTCCTCTTCCTCTTTCTCTTCCGCTTGCTCTGCTGCCCCTCCTTTTGTTCCAGTGGACTCTCCCGGTTCACCGCTCTCAGTTTCGAGAGCCCGCTGCAACGCATCAAGAGTCTTCCACCACTCGTCCAACTTCTGAACGAACTGTGATAAGCCAGCATCTACCTCCTCCTCTTCCTTCTCCTTGCTACTGGCAGCGGTAAAATCAGAGCACTTGAGCTCTGCTCCGCCAATCCTTGCCAGGACTCCTCTTTTCCGCTCCAACTCCTCGGCTTCCATACTGCTGTACTCAACAGGGTCCAATTCGGTGGTAAAAGAAGCAATCACAGCATCAGGATTAGCAGGAGGAAGATAACCAGAAAGGCGAAATCTGCTGGTGCAGGTGCAGGAGTTGGAGCATTCACAGATTCCTCACCCTGGCTCCTTCAATCTCGATGTACTTTTTCAAAGGACGCGATTTTTATGGTTATACCTGCGTAAGAAATAACTTTCTCAACGGTCAAGTCAGGAGAGGTTCTTCCGATTCTCAAAGTCCTGTTCCGATGCTTTCAATCCAGCATGACCTCCCTGTGCTGACGTGTCTCGCGTGGGAGGCAGCAGTTGGGCAGGAGCGACTGAATTAGTTTGTTGAAAACCGATAAGAGAAGTTCAGCTAGGAGTTACATTAAGAGAGACGGCCACGTGTGATGCAGTCGGCTTGATTCCGAAACGGTTGTCACTCAAGCGATCGACTTCATCATCCGTGACACAATCTGTGGACTCGCCACTGCTGAGACTCGTCGGTCGCAACAGACCCACGGTTCGTCTGAGTAGCTGGAACCTTGAATCTAACCTCGAAAGCAATGTCGGGATGATATAGATTGTTGTCGATGTGCTTATTACTGGTTGAAGTCACAGCCACTGATTTGCAGTAGTGATATATCGGTCGACAACTCGGAGTTTCTGAGACTCTGATCGCTGAGTGGTAAGCCGGGGCTACGAGAGCAATGGGATGCTGTCCTTACGAAAACGCTATCATGCGACGCTGTACTGCTGTCATGAGTCAAGCGAGGCTTCGCCACTGAACCATCGTTTGTGGGAGATCATGCCACCACCCAATCAAACTCAGTCTGGTTGGTGTGAAGATTGCTGGAGGATTCTCACTTGTCTCAGAACCTTGTAAATCCCAGGACCTCGGGTGTGTCGTATGGGCCCGTTCCGTGCTGCCATGGAACGGGAGACCATCCAGTCAAAATCGTGACTGGAAAGGCACGATCGGACCGTCCGTTTTGAGACAAGTCTAATCCGGTGGAATTGAGACTTCCAGCGCGATGCGGTTGCTGATGTGAGCTGTCGTCTCGAGACGACCTTGAGAGTTTGCTTGGGGCCAGCTTAGATGTTGCCATGGCTGCAACGTGAATCCCTGACGAGACACACATGTTCAGCACTTGTGTACTAATAATCCGTCAATTGACGACAAATCTACTCCGTCCGTGTCTAGGTCTGAGATTGAAAATGATTCACTATAAGGGACCAAGTCATACACTTCTTGTATAAGGAATAACCGGTAGTCATGATCTATACAAAAACAAACAAGAACACGCTTCTCAATATCAAAGCAGTATATTTAATTATTTCTGACATTCATAAACAAACCCACAATAGTACCGTATCACGCTTCCCTCTTAACTCTCAAGTTTTACCCAACCCCTCTTCTCCCTCCACTCTGCATTCCAACAACAAACCCCTCTACAACATGAACTAACAAATGTACACAGCGACCCGTGCAGCTACCCTACATGGAACGCACGTGGGGCATACCAGAGTGCGCGGGCCCTAGTCATACATACTTCAGCTTGTCTCGATCTGCTGCCATGGATACATGTGATGTGCTACTATGCGGTAAGACACTGCAATAATGTAATCGATGCTGCTCAGGGGTAGTGATAGGCAAGGCCATACGCATGCAGCGGCATATACGGTACTAGGTAGAAACAGGATGCTCAGGTGGTGTGGCCGCTTGTATTGTGCAGCTAATACTGGTGAATACATCGTGCCTGTAAAGGCATCGTAAAAAGCCGTGTCACTTGGTGTAGAGCACGTCCTCCCACGGGTGGCGGTACAGCGGCTGCTTGAGGCGCTTCTGATCAAACGTGTGCCTGGAAGGAGAGAGGTGCATGGCAGAGAGGTGCATAGGATGGCGGGGCATGGAGCAGACAACAAGGTGAGTAACAGGTGATTGAAGCCATAGTAGCACATGGAGCATGCAACGCAGTGGCAGCAGAAAAATACTGCTGAGGGTTATGATATGAACGCACAACGCCCCGGTGAATCAAGTCTGAGATAAGAGCACCACCAATTGTTTACCATGAACAAATTCGAATCAAGTATGCGATGAGAGAATGACCGTCATCCAACAATCTCACCAACAAGCCTAATGCTTTGGGAGAGCATGAAAAGCCCATCAAGCAACACAACAGCCATAACATCACCAACACCCTGCTGACACCCTCGAAACCCCACAACCCAAAGCAACGCCTCACCCGATGAACGTGATACTCCTGGAGGGCACAAACAGCCCGTTGAGATACCCCACAGCCACAATGTCATTGATCTCCTCCTTGGTGAACATGGCGCAGGACGTGAGGAGGTCCAGGTATACCTCCAGGCCAGACCGAACCCCTCAGAACCCCACCGCCTTGAGTATCAACATGTCACCCGATGAGACCGATGCTCCTGGACAGCACGAAGAGCCCGTCGAGATACCCCACGGCCACAATATCGTCGATCTCCTCCTTGGTGAACATGGCACAGGACGTGAGGAGGTCCAGGAAGAGCGCGCTCATTGCCATGCCTGCCTATCAACCGCCCCAACAACCCAGACCTTGTCTCACTCACCCGATGAGCCCAATGCTCCTGGAGAGCACAAACAGACCATTCAGGTACCCCACGGCCACGATGTCATCGATCTCCTCCTTGGTGAACATGGCGCAGGACGTGAGGAGGTCCAGGAAGAGCGCGCCGATGCAGCCGTCCACGTTGAGCACCAGGTTGGCCGCCTTGGTGAGCGTGTATGTCTCCACGGCCACGGCGTAATCCATGTGCTTCACTGAAGGGAAGGAGGCACGTGCGTAGGCCTGCAGCAGCTCGACTCGCTTGTCCCGGTTGTCACGACTCTTGATGCTGGTGGGGGTGGAGGGAGTGAGGGGTTTGGGGGTGTGTGCGGGGGAGGGGCGAGGCAGAGAGTGATGGAGAGGGGAAGGTGGTTAGAGAGTTGGAGGTTCTTAGTTGAGTGAAAAGAGTGGCGTTGGTGAGCGTGTATGTCTCCACGGCCACGGCGTAATCCATGTGCTTCACTGAGGGGAAGGAGGAACGCGCGTAGGCTTGCAGCAGCTCCACTCGCTTGTCCCGGTTGTCACGACTCTTGATGCTAGTGGGGGGTGGTGGGAGTGGGGGGGGGGGAGGGGAGATGTGTGGAAGAGGGGTGAGGTGAGGGAAACAGGGCGGATAGGGGAACTCGTTTAGAGCTTTGGGTTGAGAATTGAGTGAGAGTGGCGTTGATCTATGTTTCCATAGCCACCACGTAGTCCACTGGAGTGGTGGGAGTTGGGCAGGACATGGCAAGGCAAAGTGCGTGGGGGGGATGGGATGGGATGGGAGTCACTGACACACCGTGTCACGTCAGCACCCAAGAGGCATGCCCCACATGCCAAATCACAGAGCAATGGGCAATGCTACGTCACGTACCGATGGCCAATGCCGGGCACACGAATGCCCTTCTTCTTCATTCCCTCCACAAAGTCATACGGACTCAGACCCTGCACACACATGCCATGGCATTGTGGATTGTGCAGCATGCCATGTCGTACAGACGGAGGGTGACAGATTGAGGAGAGGAGATGTGGATCGCCCACACAGGGCCACAAGAGATGCCACGTGGTAAATTTTGACTGGCTCAGAAGCTATGATGGATTATACGCTAATAGCGTATATACGCGTGTCGTATATACGCTAGTGTTTGCACGCTATACGCTGGAGGGGTCTGATCGAGGATACGCTTTTCCGGGCAGGAAAAAAAAATCCCGGGCAGGGCAAAACAAAACCCGGTGAGCATTTTCGGCTACTCGGGGGAGTTTTTCATACTCGTCGACCGTGCGGGAATCTTGTCCCGTAACCCTAACAGAGAAATTGCAAGAAATGGTTGGGTTCAGATCTGAGAACACATTTCTACCCAACCACCACAATTTCCACCGTTCGTGAAATTGGCGAGCGGGTGAAATTTGTCGTGCCTTGCTGGCGAATCACCTGCGATCGAGGCAAAATGTTTGCGAATTGTTTTCGCGAAACAGCTAGACGCAACTCACAACTACTCCTCTCAATCCAACCTCCCCACATGTCGACAGACTTACCTACCGCGCTCGATTTCTTACCTAGTTTAGTAGACTAGGCAAACGCGACACCAGGACATAAAGCCACTTTCCCGCGAGCACAGACCGCGGACGTGCAATCTGACTTCGCAGAATTGCTCGTCGTGCAATTCCGCATCGTTTGAGCTATTCGATTTTTTTTGGGTCGGCCGGGCTGCCCAAAAAAAAAAGGGCCGCGTATAGCGTTTTCGCTAGCGTTTCGTGTGTTGCGTGTACACGATAGCGTACAAACGCTAAACGCTAAGGCTCCTAAGCGTATAATCCAACATAGCTCAAAAGGCAACGCAACATGGCCAGAATTGAGGAACTCTGCGCACCCCTTGTACATGACACATGGGTGCTCAGTGCTCACCCGCTCAACAGCGTCCTTGAAGTACCGTGCTGCGTCGTCAATGGCCCCTCCAAAGCGCGGGCCGATGGTCAGCAGCCCTGCGATGAGCAGCATTCGGACACATGGAGACAGTACGACAAAGAAAACAAAAGATGGGCCGCGAAGCACTAGTGTGATGTGACGGGCTAGTGGCACTCGTGTGGATGAATTTGGCTTCAGTAATACTTTGTGAATGGGTAGAGGTAGGGGACTTTTGAGTCGACTCAAAAGCAAGGTAAGGGGCAGCAAGGCAAGTGCGTGTGTACCCAATGGCACCTCAGATTCCACATTCTTGCTTACCGCCCGTGAAGGGGTAGAGGTAGGGGACGCACCAGAGACGAGGCAGGAGATGAGGTCCTTGCCGGCCCGTGAGGTGACAATGGAGTTGTGCGCTCCCGACACACATGGGTTTTGAGTCAACTCAAAACACGAGTCGACTCAAAACACGATTCGACTCAAAACATGACTCAAAACACGAGTCGACTCAAAACACGACTCAAAAC